ATTTAAGAGATACAAAATCAAAAGTTAACATTGTTTGTGTTATTTGCGGCAAGTTTACAATTTACCTATTACCCGAAAGTGTAAATATTAAAAAAGTCGATATTCGGGTGGAAGATAAATTGTAAACTTGCCGCAAATAGTACAGACATTGTTAACTATTTATTTTGTATCTTTTTGATAAGTTGCGGCTGGTTTATAACTGATTAATCGGCTCTAGGGCTTAACTGCCCAAAGCTCTCCTTCAGAATTCTAGGGCCACTTTTTAGTTCGGAAATCTGTAACGCTAGATGGCGCTGATCAAAATAATTATTACTACTTATAGTAGAGCCATTTAATCAGGTATAAACCAGCCGCAACTAATCTTACACATATAAAATAAATAGTTACTGTTACAGTGCTGTTTGCGGCAACTTTACAATTTATCTTTAACCCAAAAATTAAGTACTAGTAGCATGCTAGTACACGTATAGGCGATTGTAGATCGATCTTTATGTCAAATGTCAAACATAAATGTACATTTAACCTCGCACATCCCATTGATGTTTTATGCAAACTACTTTGAAAAGTACCTTGTTTTGTAATTAAAAAAAAGTTAAAATAATGATTAAAGTCGTTAAAAAAAATAAAGTGCTAAGCAGAGAGGAATTAGAAGCTTTAGAGAAAAATGTATATAAGTTAAAATGCAGCTATAAAGTTTACTGGAACATTGATAAATTCTTTGTTTATTATTTGCAGGACTTAATTAGCAGAATTTTACAGCTTGAGGCTTACAATTTCCAACTAAAACAGATTATGGAAAAAAATGCAAACGTAAAAGATGTACAAAAATCTCACTCTTCAAAAAGGAAGTTTGATTTTTCAAAGTTAGTATCATAATTCATAATGTAGACTTTTGTTATTGATAAGTTTAAATTGAAAACATACGTTGCAGATGTCACAAGAGGCACATTCTTTTAAAGCTTTATTACTTGGGATGGGAATATCAAGGGTTTGCTACTCAAGAAAATACAACAAGCACCATTGAACATCATTTATTCAATGCATTGATACAAAGTTGTTTGATACAGAGCAGAGAAACGTCTAACTACCATCGCTGTGGTAGAACAGACAAAGGTGTGAGCGCATATTCTCAAGTGATATCCTTGGATATTAGAAGTTCACAGACCCCAAATGAACAGAATGATTTGGATAATTTTAAGAAAGAAATAAAATACTGTAAAATTTTGAACAGGCTTCTGCCAAAAAATATTCGTTGTCTGTCATGGTCTCCTGCAGCACCTGATGTATCAGCCAGATTTGATTGCAAATGGAGATGTTACAAATATTTTTTTCCCAGAGGAAACATGAATATAAGTGCTATGAATGCTGCTTTAAAATATATGATTGGTAGCCATGATTTTAGAAATTTATGTAAAATGGATGTGGCAAATGGTGTTACTAGTTATATTAGAAATATACTCGAAGCTGAAATAACTTGTGCAACGAAAGAAGAAAGTAATGATATCATGGGTTATGACATGTGCACATTAACAATTAAAAGTAATGCTTTCTTATGGCATCAAATTCGTTGCATAGTAGGGATTTTGTTCCTTGTTGGTCGTGAACAAGAAACACCTGAAATTGTACAAGACCTTTTGGATATTGAAAAGTGTCCGTGCAAACCACAGTACAGTCTAGCTCATTATACTCCTTTGAATTTATTTTATTGTGAATATGACAATACTCATTGGTATACTGACATAACTGAACTTGAAAAAGTTATAAAAGATTTACAAGAAGAATGGACTAATGCATCTGTCAAGTGAGAAATCTCTAAATAACAAAACTTAATGAAATTTGTAATTCTTATTTTATTACTATATTTTTTTAGGTGTGCCATGACAAGATGTATGCTAAATGATTTAGGAACATTATTCGCAAAAGAAATTAGCGATGTCAATTTTCAACCTGATAGCTTATTACAAGGGTCTGAGGCTAAAGTTTATAAGCCATTGATGCAGCGGGACACCTGTGGTAAAATATTGGTTGTCTAAAACAGTACAATACAGTGTAAAAATTATCACAAATGATTTTTATTTTAATTATTTTTTTTTTTAGAAAGCCTTGAGAATCGAATCGAGCATTACACGAAAAAACGCAGACTCGAAAAAACAAGTCAATAGAAATACACAAATAAATGTATTCAATCTATCAGTATGGATTACAAAAAGTTGATTCCACGCAAACAATCAAACGTAAATCATCTACTTACTGAAGTTCAAAAAATCTAGTAAAATTCCCAAATGCATGGAACTTTATATTTTATATATAATACTTTTATATAATTTAGATTACTTTATAATATAGAATACTTTTTTTTATTAAACACTTGTTGTGTACATGCAGAAGTACATCATAAATAATTTTTATTCATTGTAAATTATATAACTTGAAATAAAATTTATGAAACACGATACATTTTACATTTATTTCGTGACACTGCCGCAACGTATGGATCTATGATAACTGCTAATAGTACATCATACGCAATCGTTTAAAAAAATTTTATTTATTTATTTCTTGCTTCATTGACAACTTCATAGAATATTTTTATTAAGTACTAAAATTTACATAAAGTTACGACAAAACCATTCATTTAGTATGTATGATCACTTTATTGTAACGAACTTATAAAAAGTATTATGTAACCAGAGATCGGCCAAACACTATTAAAATACAAAACAAAATTTTCTACTCCAAAATGCTGCATTTGGAAGTACTTGAATAAATTACATATAATGCGCTTTTCCAAATAAGTATTTTAACGTATTACCTACTAATATGTATAATAAATCAAATGATTTAATTAATTGTAAATAAAACTACTTTATTTAGGTAATTTTATTATCACGTGACAATCTAAACGTTATAAGTATGCGGTATTTTTCCGATACCTACCTTTATTGTATTGGTCAAGTAGCTCTTCTTCCCAACTGAGAGATAAACTACTGATTGTGAGAGAAAAGTACTTTTATGCTTAGATGGGAAAACAAACAATTTTTTTACACTAGAAAATATTCGTACACATATATTAGATATTGGCCAGGTGCAAGTGATGGGATAGATGAGTCGACGCCAGCGTACGTAGTGGCAAAAAAAGGAAACCTGGGGTACCAAATTACTGTCATTTTTGCTTAATTAAGGAAAGAATAACAGTATCTCATCAAATTTACAGATTTTATCATCATGTATGCATGAATGGTATCAATATTATAAAATTGCAGTTACACAAATGTAAAAAAATGAACTATGTGGTGCCAAGAACGGTTGTAAAATGTTTGAATGCAACAACATACTTATTAATAAAGCCTCTCTTAGTTTTCGATCCAGAGCACACTCTCAGAAACAGGCGGCAAAAAGAAAGATAATTACGCGAAATCAGACATGATCATTGTGATTTCTATTATTAAAACGTTTATGAAATATGGGTGTAAGAAAGTGCTATGTTGTTCAGTGTATCAGTAGCGCAAAGGCGGATGGAGTAAAATGACATAAATTTCGATGATTATCCAATTGTGAATAAAGTTACACATTTCAAGTACAGTATTTAAATTAATACAGTTAAAAAACATTTAAAAGTGAATAAAATCGGTATTTTCTGAAAAAGCCAGAATAAATACCAAAATATTCGTAAATTCAAGATATGTCTACTACAAAAAGATTATACATTAATAAATCGGTTTAGGATTATTTGCGCAGTGTATATCGTGATCGCGTAAAACAATCGAGTGCTATACAGATAGTCCAACGAACTCTTCAGTTCGCGGTATGACCGCACGTGAAAAACAATTGATGTTACTTTGTAAAATTTTTTTTTTTTTTTTTTTTTTTTTTTTTTTTTCAACTGTCAAAGATTTGGAACTAACGAACAGTAGCTTTTTTCTTGTGTTTCATACCCGTACTTTCTTTTGTACCCGTAGTAACTTCGTTTTGTAATTTAGTAAAGAATGCCGTTGAGGATTTAATGGCTTGCTGGTCTGAAGTACCTGTGTTTAAAATATTGCGACCCGTTATCTTGGGTTCATCAACTTTCGACTTCTTTTTGTTCTTTTTCTGATCGTTTTCTCCTTTCTTACTTTGATACACAGCACGATTGTGTTGCTTAAGCTTCTTTTTGCGCCTTTCTCGCTTTTTATCTGTTTTACTCC